TTTTGCAACCTGCTCTATGCAAACACTTATCTGTGGCCATTTTCAACCTCTTGCCTGACCAGTTCATGGGATGTCCATAAGTATTTGTGTTATGAGATCTACAAAGTGATTGCTCTTCACCCTTTCCTAAGCAGGTATCATTTAGGACCATTTGGTCCAATCTTTGCTGGTCTCAGTCCTTTTTTTTACTGTGAGCTAGGGAATCCAGGTGTGTTTAACTTCTCTCCACATAGAAGCTGGTCCAGGTGTTTGATCACCTTTGTCATCTCGTGCTAATTTTCTCCTAGTCCCTTTTCCATGGGTCTATCCAGGCTGACCTCTTGCTTCTCTTGACCAGAGTGGGGTGATGCAGTTCCCTGTATTTGTGAGAGAGGGAAGCAGGTTTGGGGTCAGGGTTTCTACTTTGAACGGTAGAAACATTTCCTCCTTTTGTGCACAAAATGATGATTTTCTTGGAATAATCATCTCCCATGTTTCTGTTACTGTTGTAGGATGCAGAAACCAAGGATTTGGTTATATCAGGCAAAGAAGCGACACCTTGTTGGAGGCATTCGACTCTTCTCTTTGTGTTTCCACAGTAAGTAGTTTGCTTTTCTCATGCTTGGTAGCTGAAGGTAGCACTGTAGTGTCAGGTTTTATCTGCTCTGGAAGTTATTTCAGACAGTTTTTCAAGTGAATCAATCATGGTGAATTCTACGTCTTGTTACTTACATTTGATTAATTTAGGATGTGTGTTTTTATGCTGAATGGTGACTGTGCTTTACACTTACAAGCTAGGCCTGAGGGAATTTAGACAAAATTTTCCATAAGCCTTCTCCGGAGTATTCTCTTTCTTTTGGGTAAGATTGTAAAAGTATTTATATATCAGGAGGAGTCTACTGTTTGTAAGTTGATTTTTTTGAAAAGCAAAATATCTCTTGGAGGGTGAAACAAGCACTGGATGCCTGCAAATCATACGCCTGTGACACTTCCACCTCTTTTGGGAGATTCAAGTCATAAATGATATCCAAAATGACCTGTTTCTCAGGTACAAGTGGTGGACAAAGAGATATTTATTGAAAAAGTGGAAGCCTGAGTCAAGAGGGCTTCTGCAGAGTTTTGCCGTGGGTTCAGTGCTACCAACTTGTTCCACTAATGACAGAGATGACAAAGATTCACTCTTTACAGATTCACTGAGATCAAACTGGGATACTCTGCAAGGGACTTGGTAGATGAGCTTAGACTTCAAAAGGACGTTGGCAGTTTGCAGGAATGGAAGCTAATCTGCTCTTCATAGACGTGAACAGGACTAGAAGCTGCAGGAAGGAGGTTTTGTGTTAGACTTTCTCACAACAGAGAGGCATTGGAACAGACTGAGGATGAAGACCCTTCCATCCCTCTGGCCCTAGTGCTCTTGATTATGTCTTTGAGTTTCCCACCAGAGTCCTCCAAGATGATGCATATTCTGCTGTGGAAAGCTATGTGCTTCCCTGAAGATCTCAATAATCAGATCAGGTCAATGCAAGCTGAAATGTGGTGCTCTTTCTTTAAACTATTGTTGTCATTTTGTTCCCAGGTATGCGCATGAGCTGGCACGAAGAAATCCAAAGGCACAATTGATTCCTGAATTCCTAAAATCCTCCCAGCCGAAGGCAGTGGAAAAAGAAGACAGGATGGCCTCCACAATAACTAGGGAACTGGACCGTTTTGCGTGCAAGGAGAGGCAGAGAGAGCAGGGTTTGTATTGTCTTAGGAAGAGACTAATAAAGGCAGTCAGGGGAATTTTATGGATGCTTTTAGATATCTAATTGGAGGATATCAAGAAGGCAGAGATGCATCTTTCTTGGAGGTGCCCAGTGAAAAGGGCACTGCAGTAACTGTCAAATGAGTCACTGTGGAAGATTTCAGGATAAGCCAGTCCTCCAAACATCAGTTGGTTTTGCTGAAGGACATTTTACCCCTGAATTCTATTTCCTGGCATATATTTGTTTGTTCAGACAGGAGTTGCACTTTAGGAAAATCCCTTGGCTCACTGAATAGCTAATTCTGCCTGGAGCTGTGGGCAATCAAGGGATTGGCATGTCTCATGGAACCAATGTGCTTTTAATTGATTGGAAAAACTGACCTTGGAGAGGATGAAAAGAAGCCTCCCAAGCTGTGCCAAAAATTTGTTTTGTTTTGAAAGCTAGGAATTCCAACTTAATTTTCTTAGCTACTCACAATGTAGAGTAGTTAAGGTGCCAAAAGAGCAAATGGGTATATACCAGAGCAGTAGGGAGATCTTGAAATTGCTGCCTTCAAGTAAAGCTCTTCCTGCAAAAGAGACCTTGCCAGGTGGCCACCTCCTTCCAACAAGTTTCAGAGTATGGAGGAGATAAAGCTGAGGACATGAATATGCCAGGGAACAGCGTTACCCTGAAGAAAGGAGGAGCTGGACAAGGCCCAGTGTGAGAAGGGGCCTAAGACCTCATGCAAAACAAGGAATCAGGTGACAGCTCAGACAGTTTTATCACAGGCTTGAGCAGATATGCATGGCATTCTTGGCTGAGGTATTACAAAATAGGTTATTTGCAGAAAATTCTGAAGAATTTTCTTGTTTCCTACCTACAGGGAACCTTCCTGGCCAGTTCCCATTTTACTGGCAGAAGCTGCCTCCCATTCCTCCGAGTGATGTGGAGGAGAAGGAAACTAAGGAGGAAAAAAACAAAAAGGACTTCCTCTTCTTTCAACGTAAGATCCCCCCCATCGCCCCGGTCACTGTGGAGACCAAGGACAAAGGAAAGCAGAGCGAGTGTCTGTACAGGTGAGAGCTGGGAGGTAGGTCAGGGCGGTCTGCTGAGCACTGTTGCTGCTGGGAGCGAGCCGTTCCCTTTGGGACAGCGTCTGTCTCGAGTCTGAAGGGTGGTTGTTAGGGCACGTTGCAGTGGCTCTTGCTTTCTTGATGAATGGCCAGTGGGGAGCAGGGGTTTGTGAGACTCACACCACCAGCTTCATTTTTATCCTGACTCTGGTTCCATAGTAAAGCCGTTTTTGGTGGCAAACTGGAAATCACCATTCCAGGAATTTGGGATAATTTTCTTTTGCTCTTTAGATTTAAATGAAGGGGTTTTTTTTCTTTCTTTTTTTTTTTTGTGAGAAAAATGCTCAAGACCTATAACAATTTCATGAGAGAGAGTGAAGATGTCTGAAGGCTCTCTAATAACTTCTGAAAGATATAAGTGTTTGCCTGAGATTTATTCAGCACTCTGGGTTGGCCCCTAAGGTCAACAAGAACTGACTGAGGCATGATTAAGTGTGCAGGAGCTTTCTGTTTTAATGGGAAGAGTGAAGCTTTACAGGGGAAAGAGGAATTCAAAATGTTGTATCCAAAGAGAGCAAGAAGCTCTATTTGTACTTTTTTAATTAACTGAAAGTCTTTTATTTTACAATAAAACCTGCTTGTGTGGGGTCACAACTTCAGCCACAAATGAAGTGCCAGAAACAGATAACTGCTGGGAGAGCTGTTCTCAGAAGGTCCCTTTCTCCCTCTTTTGCACTGTCCCCCCCTTGGTGTTCCATTTTGCACCCCTCGTGCAGTATTTGGTACCACCCCACAGTTGTTAGTGCGATTGCCAGGAGACAATGGTATCTCCAGGTATCTTTTACTGCAGAGGAGACAGTTCATAGGGCGGTAGATGTGAGTGTCCTGAATGACCCTGGACAATGCTG